CACACACACACACACACACGAAAAGACACCACGTGAGGCTCATCTACAAGCCCAGGGACCCGGGGACAGCCAGTGCTACCTACGAGGAAGGACACCGCACAGCCCAAATCCCAATTTGGACTTTCAGCCGCCAGAACTGTGAGAAAAGACGTCTCTGTTCTCTAAAACCACCCACTGGTGGCATTTCTGTAGGCACAGCTCTAAGTAACTAAGACACCGAGACGTCCCCTCCTCGGTCTCCTGACATGCAAACTGGGGTCCCCCTGGGAACGCGCTCTTCCTTGCTTCTTTTCCCACTGGACCCTCGCCCAGCCTGCTCCATCTCCCCCAGCCTCCGACTCAGGAAATGGTGCAAGGGAGTGGCCAGGGCTGGGCCGCACACAATGGCCTTGTGCAGCGCCCTGAATGAGATCACTCCATGTCACATCACCGCTTCCTCTGAACAGAGATAGGGAGATTCAGGAATAGATCTGGGATCTGCCGCTTGGGGGAGGGGAGGGGAGAAAGCAAGAAGGGTGTCTAGGAAGTCCTTTTACTTCTCTTCCTGCCTGGGGGGGCTGAGGGGGGACTGGACGGGAAGGGTTACCTCACACACCACCACAGCTGTCTCTTGCCCCCTCCTCTGAGGGTGTCACCCCCACCGATCACATGACTCACTGGTCCGTGCGACCCTCTAGGAGTGCCATGGGCTAGGGGAACATAATAAGTCAGAGACTGAGCAAAACTCAGCGGTGCTCATTTCTTTAGGACCAGAGTCACTCTGAAAAGTCTGTCCGGTTTACTAGCTCGGAAGGTCACTGGGGGTCTGAGATGATGACCGACAATGTCCGGAGCAGTTTACTCTTGCGGGGGAGGGCAGTCCTCCTCTCCAGCACCAGGGGGTCTCCGGAGCCACAAATCAACAACAGACACAGAGTCAACCACCAAGGAACGGGTGAGCGCTGCCGCCTTTGTGAGCCACGTGGCCGTGGGAACTTGCTTAGCTCTTGGGGGCCTCTGAAGCCTCTGTGACATGTGAATGCTCACACTGACCTCTGAGGACGCTGAACAACCCGAGCATCATATAGAGAAGGCAATGTATATTGTGCTCGGCACATACCAGGTAACCAATCAGTTGCTCCTGTTGGTGTCCGTACTCTTGTTATTTAGAAGCAGAGAGAAGGCCGGGCCTGCAGAAATGGAACTGGAGCGAGGGAAGTCCAAGACAGAAGTAGGAAGAGACATGATCAGATGGTGACCCCACTGTTCTGTGTACTCAAAAAGCTAAAACCCCAAGCTCACTGCCATCTCCAATCAGTGCTGACTCACAGGG